GATTAAACAGTTTGGAGTGGACTAACTTTTATTTCTTGTCCTATTTTGCGACTATTTTTATATGGACTGTTTATCTTTATATGGTTTATTTATTCTGGATTAAACTGTTTATTTTATATGGACTATTTTGCATGTTAGAAGGGTACCAATCTAATTGAAATATTCTAGTTGTTTTTTTATTAGTTATCTGCTTTCACCAACCCGAGTAACCCGAGTAACCCTACCCTACCCGAGGTCACCCGAAACGTCGCGGGTTTGTAGATTTAAGAGAGTGTCGCGGCTCAAAATTTTCTCAACCCGAACTAGTCGGGTAGGCTCATTTTTTCGGCTCAACCCTACCCTACCCGGCCGATTTACACCCCTACTTTGAGCTATCAACAGTCATTTCCGAATCACAGCTATCTTCTCATTATTCTCTTGAATGATTTTCGGTCCAGTGCTCAGTCGATCCTCTGGTTCCAACCAACACACAAGTGACCTACAAGGACGACCATACAGAGCTTCAAGCTTCAAACGGTGACATTCTAATAGTGGCCTGATAGCTATTGTTGTACGCAAACTCAGCTAGATGCAGGTATTTCTTCCAGTTCCCACCAAATTCCAGAATACATGCATGAAGCATATCCTCCAGAATCTGAATTACCCTTTCAGATTGCCCATCAGTCTGAGGATGAAATGATGTGCTGAAGTTCAAGTCTGTTCCCATGGCTTCCTGGAAACTCCTCCAATACCTTGCATTAAAACGGGTGTCACGATCTGACGTGATAGACAACGGCACTCTGTGTAGCCTCACAATGTGCTCCAGGTACAATTCTGATAGAATCTTCCAAGAATACGTCGCACGGAACGGTATGAAGTACGCAGACTTCGTCAACCTATCCACCACCACCCAGATGACATCGTGCTTCAGCTCGGTTCTCGGTAGCCCCATCAGAAAATCCATAGTGATGTGCTCCCATTTCCATCCTGGGACAGGAAGAGGTTGTAACTCTCCCGCTGGCTTCTGATGCTCAGCTTTAATCCGGAGGCAAGTCACACATTTCGAGACATACTCACGAACATCCCTTTTCATGCCTCTCTACCAGTACTGTCTTTTTAGGTCTTGGTACATCTTTGTACTTCCCGGATGTATAGCATACCTCGATTTGTATGTCTCTTGCAGAATCGTCTTCTTTACCTCACCCGCCTTAGGAACAGCAAGGCGGTTGCGGAAATACAAGGCTCCATCCTCTCGGATTCTCCAATCCTCGAATTGCTCATTATTCTGGATTCGAATCCAAATTCTTTAGAGGTGTGGATCCTGCCATTAATTCTGCTTAACCTGTTACACAATATCCGGTGTAGAGATCAGATTATACACCATAGCCTGGTTATAATTCTCGTAGAACTGAAGATCATACTCACTCACCATTTTAGTCCTTTTCTAATCCTCCAAAGCTAATGATGCCAGAGTCCCTGTCGTCTTCCTGCTAAGGGCATCCGCCACCACATTAGCTTTTCCAGGATGGTATTACAGAGTGAAGTCGTAATCTTCCATATACTCCACCCATCTCCTTTGCCTGAGATTCAAGTCTTTTTAAGTAAACAAGTACTTCAGACTTTTATGGTCAGAAAAGACCTGAAACTTTGCTCCATAGAGATAACATCTCCATATCTTCAGAGTAAATATTACCGCTGCTAGCTCCAAATCATGAGTGGGGTAATTCCGTTCATGTGGTCTTAATTGGCGAGATGCGTACGCTACCACGCGTCCCTCTTGCATTAAGACACAACTAAGCCCACTTCCCGAGGCGTCAGAATACACCTCATATGGTTCCTCACTATCAGGAATAGTCAAGACTGGTGCACTTGTCAGTCTGACCTTCAATTCCTGAAAAGTATTTTCACACTCAGCGTCCCATTGGAATCTGACTTCTTTCTTGGTCATCTGAGTCAACGGTACAACAATACTCGAGAAGTCTTTCACGAAACGCCGATAGTACCCTGTAAGTCTGAGGAAACTGTGAATCTCCGCTACATTCTTCGACCTTTCCCACTGTAACACAGTCTCGATCTTAGAAGGATCGACAGAGATTCCTTGTCCTAAAATTACATGCCCAAGGAACTTCACTTCTGTCAACCAGAAGTCGCATTTCTCCTTCTTAGCATACAACTGGTGTTCTCGAAGAGTCTGAAGGACAATTCTCAAGTGCTGCTCATGTTCTTCCCAAGTCTTCGAGTAAACCAGTATGTCATCAATGAAAACAATTACGAACCGATCCAAATACGGCCGGAAAACAAGGTTCATCAAGTCCATGAATGCAGCCGGGGCATTAGTCAACCCAAACGGCATTACAAGAAACTCGAAGTGTCCATATCGAGTTCTGAAAGCAGTCTTCAGAATGTCTTCCTCCTTGATTTTTAGCTGATGGTACCCAGATCTCAAGTCAATCTTAGAGTAGAACTGTGATCCACCCAACTGATTGAATAACTCATCGATTCTCGGTAGTAGATATTTGTTCTTCACAGTCACCCTATTCAATTGACAGTAGTCAATGCACAACCGAAGAGATCCGCCGTGCTTCTTCACAAATAGCACCGGTGCACCCCAAGGGGAAGTACTATTCTGGATATATCCCTTTTCTGCCAGCTCTTCAAGCTGCGTTCTTAATTCTTTCATTTCCGCTGGAGCCATTCGGTATAGAGGAATGGAAATAGGTGCCGTTCCCGGAACCAAATCAAAACAGAATTCAATCTCCCGATCTGGCGGTAAACCAGGTAGCTCATCAGGAAATATATCTGTAAACTCATCCACTACCGGGATTCCCGCACTATCTCTAATTATCTCGGGTTCACCTTTTAGAGCAAGAAGAGAAGAAAAACATGTCAAGTTCCTCCGTCCCCCAACGTTGTACTTCAACAGTCGTTCCTCCAGGACTGGGTTCATATCCACCTGATAAGAAATCATTGTTCCAAACTTAGTCATCAGAGTCACTCTCCTACCGTAACAATCAACAATTGCTCCGTATTCTGACAACCAATCCATTCCGAGGTCCACATCAAACAGGCTCATCGGAATGATGATCAAATCTGCTCTCACTCGCTCACCGCCAATCATGATTTCACACGATTTACACACACTCAACACCTCCACACATCCCAGTGGGGAGTTCAAAGTCATCGAGACTTCTAAATTCTCAGATTTCAGTTTCAAAGCCCGAACAAAAGAACTTGATATAAACGAGTGTGTGGCACATGTGTCAAACAACACGTGAGCAAAAGAATGAGAGATTATAATCATACCCTCAACCACCGTGTTGCTGGTCTGACTTCCAGAACTGCCTCCTACCAGGGCATAAGCTTGTCCCTGTACTTTCTTTTTCCCTCTGTCACCAACATTAGGCCGTTAGGTCGGTGGCCTATACTGTTGGGGCGGAGGTGGTTGTACCGGTCTCGGTACTTGAGGCCGGAATTGTGTATACGGAGGTGGTTGATAAGTCGGCACATGAGGGTATGGCATCTGTTGTGGCTGATATGGTGGCATGTACAGTGGTGGCCCTTCTTGACTGTAAGAAACGTCACTTTGGGCTTGTTGAGCCGGCGGCCGATTAGGACAATTCCTCCTAATATGACCCACATGCCCACAATGGTGACACTTGGGCCCGTATGGAGCACTTTTGTCACTTCCTGACGAACTACTGCTACCGCTAACCACTCCCCTACCAGGCTGCCCCTGGTTGCAGTTCTTTCTACCACTCCGCTGTGGCCCACCGGAAACAGATGGTCCCCCAGAAACTGAAACTCTTCCAGCTTGTTCTTTACTCTGGTGATAAGCTATGTTATCCTGCTCCACCCTAGTAGCAGCAGCCACCAAATCTCAAAAATTCCAGATTCTCAAAGCCACCAATGGTCTCCTCACAGAGTTCTTAAGGCCCTTCTCAAACTTAAGACATCTAAGGTGTTCAGATTCCACCAAATATGGCGCGAACTGGGACAGGTCATTAAACTTGGCCTCATACTCCCTGACAGACATGTTACCTTGCAGCAGAGACATGAATTCCATCGCTTTTTCCTCCCTATAACTCTGAGGGAAGTACTGCTCATTGAACAGTGTCTCAAATTGCTCCCAGGTCAGTCCTGTAACATCTATTCTTCTCTTGACCTATTTCCACCAAGTATTCGCTAAGCCTTCCATCTTGTATACCATAAATTCCACCCGGTATTCATTTGGAACTCCCATAGTACTCAAATGCTTGACTATGGAGCCTAACCAGAACTCTGCTTCCTAGGGTCCTCCCTTACTATTAAACGAGGGGATAGGCGCACGCCTAAATTCCTGGAAGTACCCTTGCTTCCTATCCTCAACCGGCTGCTCGTTTTGAGCTCTTATGGCCATGCCTTGAAAGGCAGCATACATGGCATCCAGAAATCCCTGATTCTGTTGTGCCGGTTGATTAGCGGGCCTACGGCAAGGCGACATTTCCTTTAACTGAAATAACACTAGACTGTTCAGTAGATAACAAATGTCACACATGTATGTACAATCCTAGGGTTTCTTAACCTAGGGCTCTGATACCACTCTTGTCACGCACCCCCCTAGACGAGCCCCACTCGACTGAATTAAAATATAAATACATTACTACAGAATCCCGAAGCCTCTGACACACAAGGCTCCACCCCATAAGACATACAGTATCGTACATATATGCTCATGTAAATAATCATTACAACAGACATCAACCACAGTCTAGTAAATCCAAATATTACATAAGTTTACAGAATTCTCAAATTCCTTACATTTATTCAAGAGGATGAACTCAATTCGACTGAATTAAAATATAAATACATTACTACAGAATCCCGCAGCCTCTGACACACAGGGCTCCACCCCATAAGACATACAGTATCGTACATATATGCTCATGTAAATAATCATTACAACAGACATCAACCACAGTCTAGTAAATCCAAATATTACATAAGTTTACAGAATTCTCAAATTCCTTACATTTATTCAAGAGGATGAACTCAATCCTCTCTTGATCCAACAGTAGCAATCTTTCGTTATCCCGCACCGCTCCTAGAGTCTCCTGTGAGGGGTTTAATACATTTGAAACATAAAACGTGAGCGAAAGGCCCAGTAGGATATAATTTGCAAGGACGTAAAATAAATAAATACCCAAAACATCTTCTTCTATTTAATGAGGAAATACATACCCAAAACAAGCGAAAGAACGAGCAACATAACTCCAACTCCCACACCAATGCTCAATAGAAGGTTTGTTTTGTCACTAGCTAGCTGGAGGTCAGTAACTTGCAATACCAAAAGGTCTATGATCTGTCCAAAAGCATTTTAAGTTAACTACCCAACATACAATATCTATACATATAAATATAAAGAGAGACAATCAACAAAAAATACAATATGGAGAGAGAGTTTTAATGTTACTTTTCCATTTTATAATTATTATATATATAATATTAGGTATAATACTAGAGGGGATGCCTCTACTTCAACCTCTGCTCAAAAAGTGCAACTTTGCTAATCTTTTGGTTTATTTGGTAATGGTGGCCTTGGTGAAGAACTACAACTGTACATATTCTATAGCTGTCAAAATTTCTTTCTTTATTGAACTAATGAGCTACAACCGTACATACTAGTCAAAATTTCTAAAGCCCAGCTTTTCCAATCATTTTTCTCGTCTTTCAATTTTCTCTCGCATTCCCACTTTCTCATTCTCTCTCCTTTATTTCTTTTTCCAAGCTTCAATGCGCTAAGTCTCTCTCTCTATCTCTCGCCATGGTTGCTGTATTAGGTACCTTTATTTCTTTTTTAGTCCTTTTAGGTTGAACTTTAAACTAGCGTTGGGCCGTTGGCTGTGTTGTCTTGAGGTCTAGGAAGTTGAGGTTGATTATTCTCAGATAATGCTTGGGTCTTGGTGACTTCGGAGTTAGTTTGATTGATGTTAAGTGAATAGAAATGTGTTGTTTGGATATTTCTTATTTGCCTGTAATTGCTCTTATTATTATATTTTTAGTTTTGTTTTATTTGTGTTGTAAATGATACTGTTTTTGTTTCAGTTGGTTTTAAGTTCTCTTTTTATTTTTTATTTTTTTTTAGCTTTGTGTTTTGGCTATTTATTTTTCATGGTTGATTTTTTAGTACTGAGTGTATTATGCCTGGTTATTATTATTAGTTATTTGGGGATATAGTAATGTACTGACCAGTAAAGAAGTGTTTCAACTATCTTGTTTTCTCTTATTGTTACCTATCATTAGATATTTGCCTTCATTTTTCTTCTTGTAGCTCGCTATCAACGTGAGAGGGAGATCCGTGGGTAAGACGCGCTTGATTCGGACACGAATCGAGCAATCGTCAATTAAGCGAAAGGAGGGGCCGGACCCAAGCTCCGGCGACAGTTGATGGTGGATGGAGTTTGCCTCTAACACTGCTGTTCAGCGATCCTAGAACGTGTGGAACATAGCTGGAAATGTGGCGCTACCGACACGAGATTCACAGTTAGATCTTCAGCGCCGGAACACAGCTGGAAATGTGGCGCTACTTTGATGTGATATTTGAAGATGAGTTTATGCAAAATTTTAGAGATTATTGTCTTATAGTTAAGATTCCTAGTTTTGATGGGTCTTTTCATTTTGAGGTAGAATTCTTGGAATAGATTGATCGAATTTGTGGATGTAGAGCCTGCAAAAGCAAGCACACTTAGTTGCTAGGAAATTCAAAAATTATTCTGAATATTGGTGGAATGGGCTCCAAATTGAACAAAATCATGTTGGAAAACCGAAAATTAGGACTTGGGCACATATGAGAAAGAAATTAGTAGATTGGTTTTTGGTACCGCAATTGACTATGAACAGCCACTTTGTCAATATCAAAGTTAATAAGTCAAGCAAAGATCTGAAGGGTTTGAAGAAAAGTGTGAAAATTCCTTTATACCAATTTGGAGTTGCTACTCTAGAGTCTAGAAATTCCTTCTTACGTTTGATGCTTTTCTTAAAGAAGAATATATGGGAGAGGTTAGTATAGAGCAAATGGCAGCTTTTAAAGCAACTGAAAAGGATAATAAAGAAGCAGGGATGAGGGTTGCAACTAATGTAGTTGAACCAGATTTATTTGATGTGGACTTAAAGCAAGATTTGAAATGTTTTGACATTACTTATGAAGTCAATAGGATGTCCCCTCCCATTGACGTTAGTTACAAGAAGATTGTTGATCGGAAAGTTAATTGGATGCTTGAAGCTCCACACACAAATACTGAGGAGGTCAATACCATTGCTCAAGAAAGTTACATCAAAACTGAAACTGAGATGAGTGAAGTTACAAAGGCCATAAATTATGTTCTCTAGCTTCAATTATAACATTGTTCAAGTATATTGGTAAAGAAGTTAAAGAAGATGAGAAGCAATCTACAGTACAAGGAATTTTTGGCTCCAAACTCTGAGGATAGCTTTGTTGAAAAGTTTTTAGAACAAAGAGTATCGTTTTCTTTCAAAGTCACTCCAAATGCTATTGGGGATGATAGAAAATGCAGGGATAACAAGATTTTTGTTGTTGAAAAGGCCTACTTTGATGCATCGCAATTGAACGAAGACCTAGACTCGCCAAGACAGATTGTTAATCAGATTAACAAGGGTGTATCTTTTGAACTAGAACAAGAATTATTTGATGGCAAGTTAAGTCAAAAGAGATGCTACGTGATGTGCAAGCAACAAGAGTTTCAGAAAGTAAAGTTTGAGACTTGGGATTGGTTCAATATCAACAAATTCGAAGACTATCCATCAGTTAATCTTTCACTCATGTGTCCAAGTTTCGCTAGACTTTGTTGCTGGTGTTAATTCAAAAGTGAGCTTCTACAATGTAAATTTGTATGGAAGGTGAAATCTACCTTTACCTCAACCACTCTTGTTTTTCAGTTTCTTTTGTTTTTTTTAACCTCAAGTTTATAGTGAATTGACTTTTGCTTCTCCAAATTAGTTATGGATTTTTCATGCTATTTGTCATTTAACAAGGAAAGTTTTTAATGGTTTTATTCTCCAATTCCAATTGTTCCTTATTTTGATAGTGATAACCAACATTTGTTTCTCTTTTATTTTCTATCTCGCGCCCTTTGGGTTGGCCGAAAATAAAAGCCATAGTGGTTCAGCAATAAAGTGATCTCTAAAAGATCGAAAACATTGATAGCATCACCTCTATTAATGTCTCTAAGATGTTAAGAAGCCTGATATTTTGTCAGATGATAGACGATAATAACTTTTTTAAAAGAAATTATTAGGTTCATTCAGCAATATAAGATTTTATTCTTCCCTATTTAGAAATTAAGAAACCTAAAGCACAAAAGTGTGTAGCACAACTCCATATTAGTATATCTACGAAAGGAGAATTTAGATGCTTACCCGGCCTAGCATTGGAGATTGAAACAGACGATCCATTACTTCTTGGACTAGGAGAAATCAGAAACACACCAAGCAAAGGAAACTGAAATTGAAGATTAGGATATAGATCAACTTCAACTGGAAGAAATAAAAAACAACACAACAAGCAAAGGAAACTGAAATTGAAGATTATGACAGAGATTAACTTCGACTAGGAGAAATCAGAAACAACACAACAAGCAAGGGAAACTGAAATTGAAGTTAGTTCAGAGATTAACTTCGACAAGAAGAAATCAGAAACAACACAACAAGCAAGGGAAACTGAAATTGAAGATTAGTTCAGAGATTAACTTTGACAAGAAGAAATCAGAAACAACACAACAAGCAAAGGAAAATGAAATTGAAGATTAGTACAGAGATTAACTTCGACTAGGAGAAATCAGAAACAACACAAGCAAAGGAAACTGAAATTGAAGATTAGTACAGAGATTAACGACACTAAATTTGGAGGAAAAGGAAAGGAAAAAAAAAACAAAAAACAATGTAATCCATACCTCAAGAATGCGCCTAGAGAGGGGAAAGAATGAGGAGAAACCGATCAGCGCTAATATCTAGGGCTGGCAAAAAGAACATAAAATGCAGAAACAAAAGAAATTGAGATTGAAGATTACAGAGATGGACGAACCTAAAACTGGTGGAAAAAGGAAGAAACAAAAGCAAGAAACAAAATCCATACCTCAAGAATGCAGGGAGAATGAGGGGAAATCGCTCAGCTGCAAGATTTAGGGCAGCAAGAAAGAAAATGCTAATGGTGTTGTCGGAGTATTGACAAAACCAAATTAGTTAAAGCGGTTTAGTTATACCCACAATTGAGAACGTATAGAATTTAGTTAAATCCCTTTGTTAGTTTAGCTTAAAGTGCTGTTGTGGCAATTAATTTAGTTGTTAATTTTAGTTGGTTATTTTTTTCCTTTTATTTTTACTTTTGAATATGTTTTAAAGTTATCATATCTACATCAGAAACTATTTGTTCTGCATATCTTTTCAATTTAATTTAATTTTAATTATGTCTAACGATTAGAGAAGTGGCCCTATTGTAAAAAGCTCTACTAGAGAAACTCCTGAATTATTATTGATTTAATTTGTTTAATAAGAGCTTCTTTATAGAGATGCAAGAATGGGCCGGCCCGGCCCGTTCTCTTTAGGGCCACGCGGGCTGCAGGCCGAGCCGGCACAGCCCACGAATTTTGTGGGCCAGGCAGGGCCGGCCCGGCCTGTATAAGAATGACCTCGGCCCAGCCCACACCACGGGTCAATTTTACATTGGCCAGGCTAGGCCGTGCCGCGGGCCAGGATGGGCCTTCACTGGGCCGGCCCACTCAAGGCCCATCTTAGCCCATCATGGGTTTAGATGGGTCAGCCCATCATGGGTTTAGATGGGCCAGCCCATCTAAGCATATAATATTAAATTTTTTTTTTTTTATTTTTTTTTTTAAATTTTTAAACAAGTTAAGAAATATATAAGTTTGAGTGGTCAATGGAAATATAAAAATGATATTTTATTTACGATTACCTCATTAAATAAAAATATTTTTAAGGAAACCCTAGTGGAGCAAAACATTGATAAGGAAAAAAAGAGTACAATAAGGATAATTATACATAAGATGTTTATAAAAGTACTAAAAAAAGAAAAAAAAAACATAAAAATATTATGGGGCTAGATGGGCTGGGCTGGGCCGGGCCATTATGGGCCAGGATGGGCTGGCCCATCATGGGCCTAGACGGGCCGGGCCAGGCCAGCCCAGCCTGGCCCATGATTTTTCATGGGTCGTATCGGGCCGGCCCATGGGCCGATATATGTTGGCCTAGCTCAGCCCACCAATATTTATGGACTAGGCTGTACCTTGAATAGTGACGGGCTGTGCCGACCCAACCCATCACTGTGTCAGGATGGGCCTGGGCCAAGCCACAGGCCCTGGCCCATTGTTGCACCTCTACTTCTCTAGTAGGACAATAAAAAATAATCATACATGTATGAGAAACAATCTGTTCTGTATACTTTTTCAATTTAATGTGATTTTGACTTGATCTAACGATCAAAAAACTAGCCCTACCAGGAAACTCTTTAATTATCGTTGATTTAATTTGTTTCATGGGAGCTTCTCTAGTATGACAAAAAAAACAAAAAAACAAAAAAAAAAACCACTAATAGTTTTCTATTTTTAGTTGTCAAATCTATATCATAAGTTATCTATTCTGCGTACTTTTTTAATCCAATGTATTTTTTATCAAGTCCAAGGGTATGAAACTAACCCTTACCTGTAGGAGGCCTTGCCATAGAATCAAAAATACTACTTTTGAGAGTATCTCTAATGCAATGTTATAATTGATGTGTCAATTGTAAATTTAGCATTTGAGTGCAAAATTACTCTCTAACGCAATGTTATTTGTTGTGTCAAATTTACCATATATTAGACTTTGTGGCAAATTCCTACCAAATATAGCATCTGACAAATTTGACTTTTGATTCCTATTGGTTGATATGGTTACTTTTTATTCAGTTATTACAACTTTTGTTTTTTCCAATTCAAACTTTACTTTTACAACTTTCAAAATTTAATAATCGTAGAAAAAGTATATTTTAGTATTGTAAATAGCATTATGTATTAGAGCACAACATGTCAAATATCCAATTATTACACTTTTTTAATGTCAAATATACAAATGATATTAGCATTTGTACGGGAGATTTAGTGCTAACTAATACTTATGTCATCAAAATGGCAAAATAAAAGCATATCTTTTATTAAAATGATAAAAATATAATTTTAAGGACACAAATTTATTCATTGAGTGACATAAATATAAAGATAACAAAGAAAAAAGAAGAAAAAAAAAGTAGAATACGTAATTTTCTCTAAAGAAGGTCATTCTAAATTACTTGGACCTTGTACTAGGGTCGTCACTTACGTCTAATAATCAGTGATGTTTAATGATTAATTTGTTTAGGTGAATACGTGCATGGGAGGTATAAGGTTGTTTGGCCGCCGCCAAAACACACTGCTTAATTATGTTAACGAGTACTAGTGAAATATCTTGTTATGGACCTTTTTTTTTTTTTTTTTGGGTGCAGTCAATACAAAAATGGACTACAGGATTCTGCATTTACACATGAAACAAGAGATGAAGAAGATCTTCAACCAATGGCGTTGCACGTTTTCTTTTCTTCTGAAATTGCTGCTGAACGTCGTTCACTCTGGGAATGAACAAACTGCGCTGTTGTTCATCGCAATCATTCCATTATGATTACTTTAGCTATGATGTTGGCTTGAATGAGCTATGAAAGTCAATAAATGGACGTAGTGCAGCTAAAAGCATCTGTCTTTTAAGCATTTATTTATTTATTTATTTATTTTGCAACAGAAACAATGTACTAGTTTGTGCTATTTATGCATCTCTTTGCCTCGAAAGTTGAAAATAGTCTTCACCATAAGATTATTTCCATTGGCTTGAGAAGCTTGTCAGAGTGTGTTTTACTATTGTTACTGCTTTGAAAGGACATTGGTACTTGGCTATCCTTGTTGTTGCTCCATTGCTTTCTCCTACACTTTCTCTTGGGTTCACTTTGATCTCAATTTCCTTGCTTCATAAGCTGTTTTTCGTTGTTAGTTCTCCTTGATGTTCTGTTCTTGTTGCTCATTATGTGAATCAGATATACGCGTCATTGTCTGTGATGATGTTTCATTGGGGAATTGTCATCATACCAACATGCGTTTTGTGCTCATCTAAGTAGTCATCATCATTAAAGCACATTCCCGATACAACTGGGGTCGGCTACATGGATTCTGACTTTCTAAGTAATGCGGTTGTTTGCCCGTAAGCGTACAGTATCAAGTTTTGATAATAAAAGTTGAGTAAGTATAGTTTCCACAAGAATTGGATGTTAAATTGCCACTAAAAATCGCGATTATAGTAACTCAACTTTATTTAAGAAGCTGAACTAATTAAAATTAGAATAGAACAAGACAAATATAAATACGAAAATAAAATAAAATATGAAAATTCCTATGCACATTTATACTAGGGACTTGACTCACCCTATTATTCCTATATTCATCTTATTTAACTATTGCTATTCAATTCCACTCAATTCATTAATCTTAAGTTTTTAAAAGTAATTTCACTCTTCCTGAGTGCCGAGCAAAATAGTATGCAAAACCCAGTTAAACAATATCCCTATTAGCCTAACCGAATCAAGCATCTATTAAGCAACCTAATTTTGATTACCCGAATTAATTGGCCTCCCGAACTTAACTAACTCTAGGTTGTGTTTATCTAATTCTAACATGTGAAAATAACTCTCCTTAGCCTAAACTACACATCTATATCTCTAATCCATGAAAACACAAAGTAGATCCATTAACATAGAGAAATACAAATGAATTAAATGGAAATCAAACTAACTATTAGCAAAATATTCAAAACATAGTTCAAACAAGGTTACATTAAGATCTAAAATAATAATCTAGCTCAATATAGAGAAATTCATAACCAAAAATAAAATCTAAAAAATAATAAGGAAATAAAGGGAGAATGAAGAATTATGTTGGAAGAATAATTTTCTAAACGTGAATCCACCATCTTCTTTAAGGATCATCAATGAAATCATGAGATTTGAGCCTCCAAAGTTCCTTCGTCTCTAGGGATTTTGTGCCTCGTTTTCCTCTCTTCCTCTCTAATTTTAGGAAAATGAGTCTTCTCCCCTTTTATATCTCCCCAAATTAGCTCAAATTGATAACATTTCATATCTACAGCGGACAATTTATATATCTACAAATCAGCTCAAATTGTTGAGTATAATAAAAAAATAAAATCGTGTTTATTAATTAATATATTATAATATTGTTGATAAGTACTGAAAAATGAAAATGAAAAAGTGAAAACAACTTTCAACTATTTTTTAATTTATTCACAAAAATCATTCTCACTGGTTTCCTTTTTATTTTTGTTTTCAAAATATTTCATTTTCATTTTTTGCTTCTCGAAATAGGTGAAAACTGTTTTAAAAAACGGTTCCAACCACACACGTAAAAGAAAAAGAAAGAAAAAAGAAAAACTCATGATTTTATGAAAATAACATTTATAATCGGGTCACGTGAGTGGCCACATAAGTTTTAACGTGAATAATTTAACGGATCTTAACAAAAAGAACTTAATTACACAAATTTAATGACATTAGGTGTGACGCCCCTCCTATGAGGCCGCCACTGTAACTTAAACTTTAACTTGTACTTACTGGGGTTTCTTAAAATATGCGGAACATTTTTTTTTTTATATAAGAAGGAATACTTTCATAATTTGTAACAATAATTTCAAATAAGTGAATCACTAAATTTCTTAAAG